AGAAATGCACAATATAAATACCAAACATGTCAAACTTAGTATGCAAAAAAATATATAAAATATTAATGAAATGCATATAGGGTGTAGAAATACACATTATAAAATATTATTTAATTAAAATCAACAGATATTGATATTTTTATATTATATTTCAATTATAAAGATTATAAAATATTAAACATAAATATTAAAATATTAAATGTATTTTATAATACACATAATAAATCATTTTGATTATTTAATGTAATTCAATTAACCAGTCGAAAAAAACTGATCATTTTCGTACGAGGTTAGTTGAGTTTATGACAAATCACTCAACATGTTTATGTTGCAAGTGCACAATATTGGTCGATGTATTGCACATTAATGACTATCACATTGCCACTATAAAAATAAGCATGCATCACAACAACATTTCGACTATCACGTTTTACTTTATAATGCAACACGTTGCACTTTATAAAACAACACGCTGCACTTTATCATCACACTCCACAATTAACGTCAATAGCTTCCTCTAAAACACCACGCAACATAAATTTAAAAAAATGGATAATAGCTCCCACTAACATATACGCAACATAAATCTAAAAAATGGATATACATATATTTTAGCATCTATCATATCATTTGTAAAAAAAAAGCATGCGAACATAACAAAATTTCGAAGCACTTTATATATCGATATGTTGCACTTTACAAAACAACACGTTGCACTTTATAAAATAAGATGTTGCACCTTATCGCGAATAGTTGATTGCGTAATAAACAACGAAAGAGAAATCGACCGCAGAGTTTTCGACTCAAAATTTTTTATTTCGGTTTGATAAAATATTTTTATTAATTAAAATCACAATTATTTCAGTTCAAGTCGGTTTTATTTTCTAAAATTAATCAATATAATTGAAATTACCGAACTATATAATAAATGTTATATATATATATATATATATTTATGTATTACGAGTGCACATTATGGTTATACAAGTTGCACATTAATGACTAGTATATTGCACTATATCGAATGAAAACAACATACCTAAAGTTATCGGGTTTCATATTTTTTTTTTTACTTTTAAAAATACTTAATTTCCATTTGATGTTGAATTTTTTATTAATTATATAGCCGAATTAATTAAATGTACAAATTATATAAACATATTATTATTATTATTTTTATTTTTTATTATAAACATATCTTTTAGTTTCAACAATTAAAATATGAAAGTATTAAAATAATAATTATTTTTTGATTAATTATGAATATGAGACAATTTTAGTTCAGCCCCTAGAATTTTTATTATATCACTAATTTGCCACAAGTAGTTAATTGAAATACATTGAAACTTAAGAAAAAAATTGCAATTTGACCCCTTAAACATATCAAATTCTCCAACTAAAGCCCCACAATCCAAAAGGCAAGACTGTAAATCGAAAAATCTCAGCCCACAAATCGATTATCCTCCGGACGGCGGCGTTCTCGAAGTCTCGTTCTCTAAATTGTCACAATCGCCGGAGATTAACTTCGTGAGGTTCTTGACGTCTTCTGTGATGCGGCGAGCGGCAGAAGTGGGCTGAGGTGCGGTGAATGTCGGGGATGGTGACAGATAACTCGGTGGTGGCGTTCTCGAAATCCGAAATCTCCAAATAATTACAGTCGTCGGAGGCGCGGCGAACGACAATGGATGTTTGAGGTGCGACGGATGTCGGGGCTGGTGATGGTGGCGGGTCCGGCGGTGGGCGTCGGGGGAGGTGACGGTGGCGGGGTCGACGGCGGGCGACCGTGTTGGTGGCGGCGGGGGGAGGATGGGTGTTGAAGGTGTGTGTTAACTGTGTGTGGTTTGTGTTAACTGTGTGTGTGTGTGTGTGCGCGTGATTTGTGAAGAAACATTTTTTTTTTTTTTTGTAAGAGTGGATAAATTTGATGTGTGTGGAGTGTGTGTGAATTTACGAGAGAGAGAAATAAAGTGGGTAGGGTAGGTGGGTTTATTTGAATGACCATATTGTCCTTAAGAATACCAAATGACTAAATTATCCTTAATTAGTTTGACTTTAGTTACTAATATTTGACTCTATCATAACCATTAATATGTTGGATCTAATGGTTCACAATTATTCTTATTTCTTTCACTACCTATTATTCTCATATGATCCTTTCTCTATATATATATATATACAAAACTTATTATAAATATAAAAGTAGTCATGTGTTATTAATATTAAAATTATATTATTTATTATAAATTTGATTAGTGGTTACATTTTATTTTATTTTTTGTGATTTTTTTATCATTTTTTGTTAATTGTACAATTTGAATACATAATTTTTAAATGTTATATCATTAAATAAACTATATAATTATATCTCATTATATATTTCAAAATTTTTTATAGTTTTTATTGTCAAACGTAGTTTAATAAATTATTTGTTATATTATAATTAATTGTAAAAGTATTTTATTTTATTTTTATATAAAACGAGATGGGTCGAGTAAGTCCCAAATTCAATAATTCGGGTTACCTATTTACCGACAAAAACCCACTAACTCTCCAGGTAAAACACAACCCAAACCTGAAAATCACTAACCGAGTAAAGGGTTAAATTTGAGTAGGGTAAATTATATGCGGGTCGAGTTTAGGTTTGGCAAAACCCGTACCAGACCCGACCCATTTGTAATCCCTAAATAAAGAGTTAAGATTTCTTTTTTTTTTGGTACAGGGACCTTTCGGTTTCCGGATCCACAGGGGAACTGACTAATCCGGAATCGAGGCGGGTAGGACCACAAGGGCGGCAAAGCTCTCCCTCAAGAGTTTTAACACTGCTGCATTCCCAGGGCTCGAACTCGAGACCACTGGTTAAGCTGGAAGAGACCCAAGCCATCTCATCCAAGCGCTCTTGAGTATAAAGGGTTAATATTTAATCCAACTTAAGATCTTCATTAAGCTTTACGTGTCGGAAAGAGAAGACACCGGACTTGTAAATAGTACGTGTTATCGCTATGGAATAGCCACATGGTCCAAACTCCATGCAAACCTGGCACTCACTTGAATTTCCCCTTTATTTAAATCTACAAACCCCACTATGTTTATCCATTGCATTACCATTTAGAAAACAAAAACTCTTTGTACTGTACGAAGTCGATCAAAGAAAGAGTAAACAAAAATGGAATCGCAATTGCAGCGCCCTTCGCATGGCCATCGTCGCTTCGGACAAGATCCACAGCACGCTGGCCTACATTCTGGTTTGTTATTTCACTATTTTATATGTGTGTTTGTGAAACTTATAACTATGGAAAAATACTACGGTCCCGTTACGAGATCATTCCGTGAGGAGTTTATAATCGTTAGATCATCAGGTAACTATCGGGGATAGTTGATCTAACGATTATGAATCTCGACGGGATGGTTTCGTAACTGGACTATAGCATCTTCCACGAGTGTTGATGTTTTATTAATTAACTAACAATTTGTTTAATGGGTAAATGAAGTGATTGAGGGTGAAGGTGATGAGGAGCAGCACGAGCACAAGTCGGTGCTGAAAAAGGTGAAGGATAAGGCCAAGAAAATCAAGGATAAAATCTCCAAACACCAACACCAACAAGGTGAAGAAGAAGAAGATGATGACGATGATGAAGAAGCAGAAGAAGAAGAAGTTGTGAATGATCCTGAAGTCCATGGTGCCCCTAGTCAGTATTTCTTTTGCTCTTTATATATGTTTCTCTTTTACCTTATTATCATCTTATTTTTGTGCACGGAAAGTATTAGATCAAAGAAATTCGCAAGGCTTATAAATTAGACCTTAAGAAAACCAGTTCTCTTTAATTCTACGTTGATATTGGTTAATTTTCTCTAGCTACATTGATTAGGGTGACCTAATTTTATTTTTTTGGTAACTACCATTTGGTTTGGGTGCAGTGTATGAAACCACTGTTATCCGGAGCATTGATGTACCAGCTAAGACTAGCACTGATGAAGCTCGACATGTCGAGACAGGCCCAACGGCACCTGAACCGAGAGGCCCGGTAGAGCAGAGGCCCACTAGGCATGATGCTGAGGAACCAAAGATGAAAATTGGGCCTCTAATGGGGTTGGAAGAGGATCCTCACTCCCCATACAACAGCCCACCAGCATCCAACTACCAATCCAAAGTCTCGGACCCAACAGGCGCTGGTAACAACACAGTGGCTGTAAATTGTTGTCTTAACATTATCATAGTAGCATAATGTAATGAGTCTTTTAAGTTAGATAAATTAAAATTTTAGCTAATGGAGGTAGTAAATGATCTCCAAAATCCTCGATAAATAAAATTTAAATTTGGCATTTGACACAATCTCGGACATGATGTTTCTGCGTTCCTAGGCGGCAAGGAAGCCGATGTTTCTCCACTTGTGAGGCAGTTGGGCAAGCTGAATGTAGGTGAGTTGGACAGGAGACCCGACAAGGAGAAGAGCGTGAGTTGCCAACAGTTCGCCCCTCATCTCGACACCCAAGAAAAAATCAGCACGGGCCCTGAAAAAACCCATGTCCCGGCTGGAGACACAATTGGTGGGAAGATATCTGAATATGCGGAGAAGGTGGCGGAGACGCTGGACCCGGTTTATCAGAAGCTGAGGCCAGGGGACGACCACACAGCCGAGAAAAATGAGAGCTCAGGGGAGGGAGTGATTGAGAGGGTGAAGGATGCGGTGGGATCGTGGCTCGGGAGGCCCCACGACTCGGCTCACTGTCAGTATTCGATTACATTTGATTGGAGTTTATGTATATATATCTTTTGATTATGCAATTGCATTTGATTGTATTTTGAGTCATCTTTTTTTTTTTAGGTTATATATTTACTTGGAGATTATGTATGAGCACATTAAAGTCTCTTTTTGATTGTTTTTTTGTTGGGTGGCTTTTCTTGTAGTGAGCGGTTCGAGCAGAGAGGAAGGCTTGGAAGGAAAGAGTTGAAGTGGGCTTGCTTGCGATGTGAAGGGAGAAGTTATTTTACTTGTTCACAAGTTTGTTTTCTAAATAATAATAATAATAATAATAATAATAATAATAATAATAATAAATAAAAAATATGTGTGTTGTAGTACGGTTTTGCTTTTGCTGTTTAATTTGTTTGTGATGCGTTTCCTTGTTCAGAAGTTCCTTGTACTGAAGAAGATCTCGCTATTGTAGAAGGTTTTCTAGTCTTTTTTGTGAATATGCAACTTCTAGCGCATTTTGTTGTTTAAAGTACCTAATAAATGTATATAGATATGTATATATGTGTAATACTCACATAGAGTGGGAGTTATTTGATTTTTCATTTTTGGTGGGTCTTTTTTAGTGGGTTTAAGAGCATCTCCAATGAGTTGTTAATTGTAGAAATCTGGAAGATGTTTAAGAAAAAATGTCTTCAACCAAGAATGTCTAAATTCTATTTATGACATAGCAAGAGATAGAATAAAATCTAGAACTCCTTCTACATGTAGAAGTCTTGTTAGACATGATGAGTTATATTTTCAAAGCTGAATAAATAAACCACTAGAGATATTTTATGTGTTTGAACATCTATTTCTTCTACGTGAGTGGAAAATCATCCATTTAATTGTCACATACACTATAATTCATGTTTACTATTGGAGATGCTTTAAGTATAGGGAGATGCTACGGTCCCGTTACGGTACCATCCCGTCGGTTGTTTTAACCGTTAGATCTACGTGTAGTTAGATAAGATCGATGATCCAACGGTTAAAACATCCGACGAGATGGTACCGTAACGGGATGGTAGCATTTCCCCTAAGTATATTATGTAGTATTTATAGCATTACTCTAATAACTTCCTTAGTATAAGGAGAATTGAGTTTATAAAAAATTTACACTAAAATATCTTTTTGTTAATATAATTTTAATGGAGAAAATGTAATGTTTATTAAGTATTTTAATGATAATGATTTCTAAGGATAATTTTATAATTATTGAAAATTAATCTAATAGTGCTTTCTAAAAATGACAAGTGCTTGTAATTTTTTTAATTAAATTTTTTCGTAGTTTTTCTTTTCTCAAGCAATAGATGAACTCCATTAAACCGAATGAGAAACAAAGTAATATAGCCATATTGTAGCATAGCGGTTCAAGGGTTAACTACCTGGTCAAATGATATGCATACGAGTCGACTCACACTAGTCGACACCAGGGAGTCGACTTCCGAAAAGTCGACTCTTCTGATGAGCCTCCTAAGGACTCTTCAGCTTAATAACGAGTCCCAGGTGATTTTCTCAAGTCGACTTCCAGAAGTCGACTTTCCTTAAGAAGACGGATGGGTGTAACAGTCTCCAGATGATTCATGAATGACCTAAGTCGACTCGATAATATACGGAGTCGACTTATCCCGCCTCGAGGCACAATGAGCTCAGACGACTTCTACACACTTCAACAACATAGCGTAGGAAAACCTCCAAGCCAGAGAATCCATATGGAATGAGAAGGAATCTGGGTGTTGACTAAGAGGTGGATGCAATGCAAACCGACCAGGACATTTTGGACACTTCACGTGAGTCGGCCGGGGCATTTTGGACATTTCAGGTAAGTGTTTTGCCTCTATATAAAGGAGCTGAGATAACTCCAAACCCTAATTTTCACTTTCTCCATTCACTTTCTCAGCTGCTGCTCCTACTGAGCAGAGTTCATCTTCATCATTCTTATATTGACTTGATCGTCGGAGGCTCTTCACCGAAAACATTTTCGGTGTTGAGTTCTTACAGGTGTTCGTTGCAACTCGGAGATGATTTAACGGCGGTTCGGACAGATCGGAGCTCACAACCACCGGTTCTGTAATATCACGATATTTTTATCAGTATAAATTATGTTCTAGTTCTGATATAATAATGTGATAAATTATTATTTTCGGAATTAATATTTTCAGTCGAGATTACCGAAAATTATTTTCGACGTACCGCTTACGTTCGGAATAATTTTGGTAATTAAGTATTATGTTTAATTAAATAATTAAATATAAGTTAGTGATTAATTAACATTAATCACATCTTAATGGCACAAAAGCCGTACGGTTAGTGGAGGAGATTTTCATATCATAAGTTCCCATTTTATAAGGCACCTTTCTTAAACTCAAGGTAAGCTTCTTTCTATTTTTTTTAAGGTCCTAAAACGTGGCAAAATGAGGAAATAAATGGATGATTAGTCATCCTAAACTTGCTTATGTCATGGCAATTGTCAAGTTATAAGTAAGCCACGTCCAAGCCTTATAATCCCCCAACTTATTGCTTCATCCTTCGGTTTTATATATGATAGGGAGTTGGGAAATTTTGGCCATCTTTCTTTCAAAGCTTATGAGTCCTTAAGATCATCCTCACTCCATCATCATATTTTCGACCTTAGTAGGATATTAGGATCGGATTTTCCCATAAATTCCAGCCTTATATTTCGCACTTTATATACTTCCAAGCTCAGCAAATAGTTAGACTATTAGTTGCTTTAGTACGGTCGGCACGCACGGCAAGTAGTATCGCACGGCAAGTATCGCACACGGGCGCGTACGCAAGGATTAACGGAGGTCGCGATCGGTTTGCGAATTCCGACGAGCACCTAGGGAGGTAAAGCCACCCTCAACTTCTTTTCATGTTAATAAGGTCATTTATGAATGAAATGTTCGGTTCATGATTCAAAATTTCATAGATAGGTCATGATAAGGTTCGGTTGTGCCTAGTGAAATCGTAATCGAGTAACTTCTTGTTTTACCCGGCAACTCACGAACCATTCATGTTTAAATGATCAGTTTACCTCATTTTATGTTCAGTTGGTCCATGTTGGTCGAGGAAAAATGTTGTATTATGGCCCAAAGCCGTCGCCAGCGCTCATCGCGTGGCCACGGGCGGCACCAAGTCATGTCATGTTACTTTCAGTGTGGTCAAGTTCGTCCGTGTGATTCATGTCTTGATAGTCTTATAATAATGTTTCATGTTTAATTGGTCAGGAGTTGCCGAGGGAAAAGATGTTTCGGTCGAGAGACGGCGTATTGCCGTCGGCGGCGCACGGCGCGCTCGCCACGGCCCGTTCAGTTGATTATGCGAAAGGTTATGTTTT